GCTTTCGGGAAACGTCCGCGCTGGTGTAGAATCAAGGAAATGACACTTTGCGGAACTGGAGCGGACACAGATGCGCCTTGGATTGGAGGGAAATCCCGACCCCGCGCCCCGGCCGACTCCCTCTGCTGACTTCGGGAGCCCCGCTCCTCGCGGCGGAGAGCACCTTCCAGCCAGGGGAGAGGTGCGGGCGGGCGCCGGGACCCTGGAGGGAGACACGGACCCTTAGACCCGCTGCAGAAGACGCTTCGAGGAGGAAGATAAGGGGGAAAAAACACAAAGACTCACAATTGTGCGAGGAACCGGCCGCCCGGCTCGGGGAAAAGCCGCCTCCCCAGCATGGACGTGATTCTGCTCACCTGGACGTTCCTGGCCCTCCACTCCTCAGGACGCCAAGTCAGAGGCCAGGCAGGTAAGCCCCTGAAAGTTTCTCTGTCCCTTTCAACATGGTTTCCCATGTAAAGGCGGCGCTGGAGCCCAGAGGCCCCGCAGCGCGCCGGGGAGACTGCCTCCATATTCAGTAATTTCGGGAGGGTCCCCGCTGGCCTCCCGGCCCACCGCGGCTGAACCAAGTTTCCTCTCCTGCTAGAAGCGCGAGTGTGTGTGTGTGTGTGTGTGTGTGTGTGTGTGTGTGTTGAGACAGAATTTGGCGGTGTTCAGATGTCACATATGGCCTGAATCAAAGGTTTAAAAATACTACAAAGCTTTAGCGTTGCAGTTTTGGGGGATTTTTTCCTGTCTTGGAGCGGAGCACATCTCCCTCGAGTTCCTCCAGCCTCCAGTGGAGCATAAATCACTCGCATCCCCCCTCGGCCGCTTCGAGCAACGTTCGCTGAAGGGCTCCGGAGCGCAGAGCTTCCTTTTGGCTCTCAGAGGCTGTGTGGATCCCTTGCAGAATGGGTGGCGACGCCGCGGAATCTCAGGGCTGGGGCCGGGGGCGAGCTGGCCTGCAGCGGAAACCCAGGCTTTTGGGCCGCCGCTGCCGGTCGTCCCTGCTGTCTCCACTGCATCCGTGTGCTTTCTGGGAAAGCAAATCAGGTGTTCTTTTAAAAAGTATGAGATGGGACACAATGCAGGCCCTCGGAGGTCGCTCACTCCTGAGAAGTGGTTAGAAACTTTTGAGTAGAATTTGCTCTTACCCCTGCCAAGAAGGGCGCGTGGACAGGCCGCTGCGGAGAAAGCGCCCGGGCCAGGACCGGCTGCGGCGCCGGCGGGAGCGGAGGGCTGACTTTCTGAGAGGGGTCTCTGGTCTCACGGGACGCCGATGGGCGGCCCGCTCCTCCCAGAACCACGCTCCAGGCTGAGCCTGTGTCCACTCTGAGAACAGTGTCCGGAATCTGACAACAAAACTCTTAGCAGCTGCTACAGGTGATTGGGGTGGGATCCTCTGTGGAGATGGGGTAGAAGAAAGGAGGAAAACCTTCCTGGAGTGCCCTCACCCGAGGCATCCCCCATCCCCGCCCTCCCGCAGGTCAGCTGAGGGGCCGAGGGGTTCCTGGCGTCCGGCTTAGCTCTGGTCCTCACCCATCCTCCTTCCCCAACACTACGCCACTTTAAGCTTGGGCGCTTGTTTGTGGGGGAGGAAATTTCAGGAAGGCCTTTGCCAAATCCACAGTCTGCCTGAACTGGTCTTCAGGGCAGCTGCAAGCCGTATCAAAGGGATGGGCGTTGGGCCCACGGGAGGTTTTCTGGGCCTCCCCACGCCCCTGTTGCCTTAATTTTAAATTCCCAGCTTGAAGCGAAATGAAATTACCTCCCACAGACCTGGATGCTGTGTGAATGATGTGTGTTTGTGGTATTTGCTGTGCGTTTGTGTGTGTGTGTGTGTGTGTGTGGTGTGGTGTGGTGTGGTGTGTACGCGCGCGCGCGCGCGCGTCCTGGGGATGCCCACGGTGTATTATGTATTCAGACGCGGACTCCAGCAGGCCTGGTGCGCGCACACACCAGTACACACATGCAACTTCAGGTTCCGTGTGCCGGGCAGAGAGGGAGGGGTCGTGAGACTCGGGGCCGTCTCCCACCCCAGATGTTCGCACATCTGTCCCTGCGCGCCGCGTGGAGTGTGTGCGCGTGTGCGCGCCGCCCCGCTCGGACCCACGCCCGCGCTGCCACCTGCCGCCGGCTCTCCGCAGAGCCCCCTCCCCGCCCGGCCGCTGCGTCACTGCCAGAGGAGCCCAGAGCGCGGGGCAGGTCCTTCGCGACGAGGCCCGGGAACCCGGACAAGGAAAAGGACCCCGGGGCTGGGACTCGCCGGGTGGACAGTCTCCAGCCCCCAACACGCGGTCGGGAGCCCGGGCTCCAAGCGGAGCCACCCACTGACGCCCGGGAACCGGCAGCGGATGGAAAGGGCGAGGCGGGCGAGACCCCGCACTCCACCGGGGCGCCGGCGACTAGAAGGGCGGCCCAGAGAACCTATTCGGAGAGGGGTTCGGGGAAAGGCGGAAGGCGCGGCCGAGGTGGGGGGGAGCCCTGAGCAGAGGACCCTCGCGCGGCGCGGCCCCGGGGCCGGGCGTACGGGGAGGCTGCAGGGGCAAGGCGCCCCGGGTTCCCCTCTCCCCAGCCGAGGGTGATGCCGCTGCCTTCCTCCCGCCGCGACTCGGGGACCCCTCCAGCCCCCTGCGCTCCTCTCTGCGCCGCAAGCTCGTAGGGGGCGGGCCCGGGGTGTGAGGGAGATTCGGGGATGCGGAGGGTCGCAGGGACGCCCGCAAGTCGCGCGGAGCAGGTGGGGAGCGCGCGGCCCACGTGGTGGGCACCAGAGCCCTCTCCTCCCCTTCGCGGTCTCTACCGCCGCATCGATTTGTTTGGGCCGCGCCGCAGGAACAGGGCCCGGCGAGAACAAGGACGAGCTATCCACGTGCGTGCTATTAAGCAGGAAGATTCCCGGCGCTGGCAAAGCCGGGCGAAGGCTCCGCCAGTCCCGTACCCCTCCTCCTGGGGACCCCCGGAGGAGCCCGGGCACGTCTTGGCGCTGTCCACGCCGGGAAGTTCCGCGGCGGCCGCGGCTCGATCCGGAGCAGCCCCCGCCGCCCTCCCGCCGTGCTCAGTGCTTCTGCACGGGAGATAAGAATGCTCGCGGCCAGTGCTTCCTCCTCCGGACTGGCTCTTCCCTAACACCAACACTGGTTCGTGCAGGCCTGGGCTCCTTCCCGCTCAGCCCCACGTAGGGTGGGGGACAATGGCGCTTAGATTCGGGGGAGGAGGCATTTGGAGTGAACCGGTCGTCTCCCCGGGAATCATCTGGGTTGTGAGGGCAGGAATCTAATCGGCTTCCCAGTCTGGGGGCTCCGCCCATGGGCGCTGCAGCTCCTGCTTCTGGGGGTGAATCTCCCGAAGGGTGGGTGGACGGCCAGTTCCGGGCTGCGTTCCCTGCTTCTCTCCTCTCGGAGTCGAGGGAGAGGAGAGCCCCCTGGCGCTGGCCATTCCCCATCAGCCGCGGCCACGAAGGCCGTTCGTCATGGCCTGCGGGGACTGGGTTTTGCTCCGGAAATCATTCGAGTCCTGACAATGGGTTTCTTCCGATGCTGGCAGCTTCCAGCCCCAGCGTCCCCACCTCCGGGACACACCAACCGGGCCAGAAGAACCCAGGCCCCATAACCGCGTCCCCTCCCCCCTCGCCGGGAGAGCTTTGATCTGTGCTTGGTTTTAACACCATTGCCATGGACACGTTCGGCCCATTCAGCCTCCTGTCTGGGCTGGATGATCAGATAAGAGGTGTAAATTGGCTGTGGGAGACAAGTCTGGGTTCAAACAGCTCCTGAAGGGGAAGCCTTGAGGTCTAGGCAACAGAGCAAGGAGGGTTTGAAGGGTTTCTTTAGTCTGTCTACCCACAATGCTGGATGGTCTTGAGTCAGCTTAGTAATTTGCAAGTAAAACTGTAAACGCCTAGATTTTACAGACAGCCTGCTCTGGCTCTGGGAACTGGTTTCCTGCCCACGTTAAACGGGTGCCGGGTAACCTTTTCCCCATCAGTGGCGCCTGGAGGTAGGAGGTTGCCCCATTGCCAGCAGAGTACACAGTGCAAAACTGTGGCAAGGGGCACACTCCCCCAGTAGGCAGGTTCCTGCCTGTCCAAGATATGCCTGGCAGAGCCTGGGCAACACTGGGGGTGTGGGGTTTCCTGTCACTCGGAGCCCTCTCAGGCACAGTGGGAGGCTGGAAGGCTGCAGTGCCCCACCACGGCCACCCAGCGGGCCTCCTGCTGCCTGCCAAACGCCGCAGGTCCCCCTGCCTCCCTTCTCTTTTGTATGTGAAGTCCACATTCTACAAAGGAGAGTCCCAGCTTCAAAGCACAAGAAGAGCTAGGAGTCCATACGCCACTTCATTTGCCATGAAGCATGAGGACCCCTGGGGAGAAAACCTGGACTGGGTGACTCTGAGGACCTGGGTGATTTTCATCCCACCCAGCTGTTCATTAAAACAATCAAGAAAATGAACTGACTTGGTGACCCCAGTGTGGGACAGTTCTGAGTGGACAGAATTCAAGAGGCAGGTTCACTGGTAAGGAGTTTACAGAATATTTTTCAGAATATATCCCCAATGGTTCAGTTTGGAAAGGTTTTATGAATTGAAGACAAGAGTTTCCTTTTTACAGAGATAGAGCAAATGCAAAATACCTTTTTAATGTCTTGAACTGACAAGAAAGGACTTGAAGAGTGACATCTGGGTGACAGTTTGTAGCCTCATTAACATATTTGAGGTGTTTTATCATCTGACCATCATTTGCACAGGGTCATCTTTGAGGCACCCTCCTTCAGGGGCAAATATGTGTTTTGATCCCCAGAAGTTAATCCCCATACTGTTCCTTCCAGGGAAGAACTTAGCTGTTTGCCTTTTTTTTTTTAATTAACTCATTCCTGGAAGATGTGGCAGAAGTTTGTCCCAGAGATCCTACGTTATTTTCAGGACTTGATCTGCCTGGATGAGACAAGGCCAAGGGAAGGCTGGTTTCATTACCTCACCGGATCCAGTGGAGCTGGATTCCAGGACACAGTGGCCTTGCCTGCGTTGGCCCTTCAGGAGAAAGCATCTTCTAAAGGTTTAGGAGCTGTCAAGTTTAGATAAGGCTGAGCCCCTCTCCTATGGGACTTTGGTTGTATTAATAAGGAGAAATTAATTTTTAACCACTGGGAATGTTGCCAAATTATGTGACCTTTGGCAGACCAGCTGTGGTATACAAATAAATCCCCCATTTCTGAAAAGGCTGTTCCTGTCCAGTAGAACAATCACAGCATGGCGTTTAGGACAGGGAAGGTGGGGGCTGAGGAGGAGGGAAGCGGGTGTTGACAAAGACCCTTCGCTGCTGTGGTACATGTTTCAGACCTGAGTATCCAGCCCTTTACCCCTTCCAGGTCCCAGACCAGTATCTCCAGAACACAGGAGAGAGGGCAGGGCACAGGGGAGGAGGAGAGGTGC